CCCCCCCCCCCCGCGCACCCTCAGCACCGTTGAAAGAGCTGCGCCTGATATTTTTTGTCATCGACTTCCTTCAGTCAAGAAAACTTGACTCTTCGAAGGAAATCTCCTCTCAGAAATGATGAGGTTCGAAGCGTACAGTGGTTACCACGCACGCTCTCATCGCTACTTCGTTTCAAGAAATTCATTTGGAAATATCTGTGCAAAATATTTTCCGTATATGAATAACTTGACATTTTACTTATACAATATAAACCATAAGAGTTGTGACTTACTTATTTAATTTATTAAAATAAATTTACATACAGTGATATTTATGATAATTGGCGAGTTGTCAGAATTCATTGTACTTAACGTGATTATTATTTCGAAAAATGGAATGTAAATACATTGAATGTAATTATTTGAACGTCATTGAGCAAATATACGACAAATATTTTATGTGTATGAACACACACGTGCGTGCACGTCTGTTAGAAGGATTTATTATACAGGGTATTTCGAAGTTTACTCAATTTACTTGTTAGTATACTAAATATATATTAAAAGACTTGATATATCAAAATAACATTTCTTATTTGCCTTTTTGTCCTTGCGGCATCATATGTGTGTATACATATGTATAGTAATACATATTCAAGGGACATATCGGTGTGAGATAATTAAATTCTCCACTTTCTTTTCGTGGAGGGTAGTTTGCAATTTTAGCAAACTGTCTAATGTCATATTATTAGACAGTTTGCTAAAATTACACTACGACGAACTCGCCGCGTACGGGACAGTTGGCATAAAACTGGGAGACTCTGGGACGCCATTTTGCCGACAATAAAATATCCCGGATGCCCAGGGGTTGCCTCTTATCTTTCCTATTATCGATAGCTGGCCGTGGACCAATATGGCTACGCGGCAGCGGTTGCCATGGCTACGTTCGGTATCTCTCGCTTCGGGACGGGGGCCCCATCATCCGCGCTATTATCGCGCTTCGCCGTAAATAAGGAGGAGGCGTTCTCCCTCATCTCCGGAGGAACGATTCCAGAGCATCCTGCACTCTCTCCTTCTCTCTCACGAAGGGATTCCGTGTCCACGCGATATCACACAGTTATTTCAAATTGAACCAACGCTGATCGCGGAAAATTTGCGTTTTCGAGAGAGCACGAAAGTTTTTATTTTGGAAAAAATTTATATTTATGCATATATACGCGTTATTATTACACGTCTCGATAAAAACGACGTACTTTAATCAATAATAATCAACAATGATCAGCATGAAAACGTAAACATACTATAAAATGATATAACGCTATATATGTATATGCGTCATGTGTGCGTGTGCGCGTGAAATAAAGGGAAAAAAGCGTGACATAAGCTATACGTTCCACTTGATGTTCCACTAATGTCAAACAACAAGGATATGAAATGATTTCGTCCCGAGCGCGCGGTGAGCGTTAAATGAAACGCAGTCGTAAAAGCATCACGCGCGCGGATACGATTTTTTTGTAATCAGCGCGAAAGAAAGTCAGTATACGGTTAGAATGCGGAATAAATGAACGTTCTCATAGGCGAATGGTAAATAGACGATCAATGATAAAAGTAGATGGAAGAACCGAGGAGCGATGATATCGCTGACGAGAGTCGCCGTATTGGCTGCCACCCAACGCAGGCAATTCGGTCGGTCGACGAACGATAAGCTCGCCATCGTGATCCCTCCTCCGTCCCTTTTTCCCTTTTCCTCCTTTTCATAGAATCACGAACGTACATACACATACGCTCGAAGGACGGCCCCTTCGAACCATCCTGGGTGGCCGGTGGATTCATTCGAGATACAAATGATAAGGAGACGCAGCGCCGTAACGCTCGCACGTGGCTCGCACATCGAATCGATGCATCTTGCAATCGGCCGGATCGAACAGCTCTCCCCGCGTCCTTGACACAATATTTTGACATACCCGAGAGATGATAATATTATAGGATGCCTCTTTCACGAGATGAATCAATAGGGGAATTATCGCGCTTAGTGCGTCGTGTAACCCTAAACAGAGTACATCGCATCAAAATTCGGGTTCTAAAATGATTATTAAAAGTCATTTTTATATATCTGTTATGATTCATTTTAATGTCATTTTGACGTTCATCGAATTTGTTGTTCTGCTTGGGACCACGTATATCTTCTAGAAATTTGAAAAAGCGCAAAACATTTAAAACGTTTTATGTACCGCACTTCGAAAGAAGGAAAATCACTGTTCTCTTATTTTCTCTCATTGTGTTAAATACGATTTTCTCTGCTTTTATTTCTGTGAGTTTCTTTCATTTTAAGCGCGGTAAACAGCTCATTATTTTTATTCTGACAGTTTAAGATTTTCATGGTTGTTACATTTTTGTTGTACTAATGCGTGACTGTTCTCAGTTGTAAAGCGACGTTGGAAGATATACAAAAGGATTAAGGAGAGTCTTATTAAGATTTAAATTACCCATAGGTAGTCCAAATTATGGCATTTTGCTACGCTTCGTTTCGAATCGAGCTTTTATTGTTATTATACTTATATAACAATAATAACTATAACAGAACGAGACATTCAAACTTCATAAAATTTTCCTTAAATGAGTTTTCAAAACAAAATATTTTACTGAAACTTAAAAAATTAATTACCAATTAATAGTGAAAATTCTGTCCCTCGAGAATAAACTAACGTTTTAATTTTCATAATGGTGAATTTCTATCTCTAACCATAAGAAAAATTATAAATAGAATTTATATAGACTGATAATAATAAATCAAATTAAGAGACACAATTCTATTTTCGGTGAAAGCGGATCTGCTTGATATTATACATATAATATTTATACAATTATGTTGTAAAAACAGCTTACATACATATGACTGCTACAATATTTTTGTTTGATTTATAACATTTTCCTAGACATCTCCGAAGGAACATTTTTTGCCGCAAATACTTTAAAGAGCTGAAAACGTCTCTTTTTTTTATGTACCTTTCCACAAGGACATACAGGATGTCATACTTATAAGAACTGTGTAAGAAAGACGATCGGATAATTAAAGAGTAGAAAGAGCTGCCAAGGAACAACCTCTTGAAAGTCTCTCAAAAGCGAGCGGGGTCAGCGTGACACGTTCAGAATGATTATTTATTTGACTCACCGAGGATTTACGAGATCCGATATTGGATAATGAATCAGGTCTCCCTTGATGGAATTAACTCACCTCTATAGCCCTCTTTGTACAACGTGTCTGTACCCCTAGTGTGACCTTTTATTAGACCAAAGGAGGAAAGAAGGAAACTGTGCGCGCGAAGCACGTCGGCTTGTTTTACGGGCAATGTGTTACATCTTTATGGGAGTCCGTAGTTGCGGCTTTATTCCACGACTTCCAGTCTTCATTCACGAATAATTTCCCAGTGCGCGATAATTCTGATACGAGCTAATTCCTCCGTTAATCGTGAAAACTTTTCTCCCCATTTTAAAAGCTTTCTGTGTATCGACTCTTATTCACAACGTGGACACGCGTCGTATTTAAAATAATTTCATGTAGCTGGGCTTTTTCCATTTTTCGTGACGCGCGTTTACGTTTCTGAACAGCACATATTGAATAATTAAAGGTTGTGCTTGTGCTCTCAAGGAACAAATGATTATATAATATAGTTATACCTATAAGCACGTCACTGCAAAGAAATATTATGTTTGCCGTTGTAAATTTTCATATTACTTCAAAGTTGAAATTGACGGAATAGTTCCGTCCTATACTATATATTTTACACGTCGGTAAAATGACCAAAGCGGAGTTAAATCTGAAACCTGGTATATATTCTGAAAATACTAAAATAGGATACTTTTCAAGTAGCTAGCATTTGGACTATCTTAGAAGAAATTTAGAGCAGAAAATTATAAGTGATAAAGACTTAAAGGCACGTTTACACTATGTTATAAATTATTACTGACACATAACGCATAAAATCTATTCTGTTCATTTTCGGTGAAAATTTATAGCTTTTGCAGGGTACGTTTTGATGGATCTTCACAATTTAGGGATAATCAACTCATTCAGACAATGGTGTTTTTTTTTAGCGTCTAGAAAGTTGTGAATGGGATGTCAATATATATATGTATATAATGTATCCTAGCGATTATTGGTGTATTGATGGTATGTATTGACTTATACATACCATCTCAGAAACGTCATAACTATAATTAATGATGATAATCCTAGGTGGTCGCTATTGTATTCGTTGAAGGGTTTTTTTTAGTAGGGTCTGCTCTACTATCCTAGAAGGATACGTCGTTATGCTATTTAAAGACCTACAATTATTCCAACGTTTCGCATTTCAGCCTGGTTTTCACGTTCGCGAGAAAAACGATTAGAACAAGATCTCGATCGCTATGTGACGATGTTGTGTCCTTGTTTCCGCAACGCGGGGATAAAATCGTTTGAGCGGAATCAATTTTCACGCGATCGAAGCTTTCGAACTTTTAATCGGCCGTTTGATCTCCAACCGGCAATATTTCCCTCATAAACAGCAAGCATGGCGAATTCGGGTAGGGCCTGCAATAAAGCAAAGGCCAATAAATAACGCGGTAGCGGCTGTAACGGGGTAGCAGAACAGCACAGGGGAACCGTGGCCAATCGCCGCCGCTCGATCCGTACCCCTCATAGATCGCGTATCGAGAGCGACCGATACATACGTCTCGATCGGCATTGTTGGCCCAATCGGGCGATTATCGCACCGGACAACTGTGGGAAATTAATACAAGAATTGTCAACGCCGATGGGGAAACCGACGAC